GCATATGGCTGTTTTTCCACATGTGTTTACATAGACTGTTTTTCTTCAGAACCTGCGGTGTGCTAATGTGAACTTAATGAAAGGGTGAATATAGAGATGGTTATTGTAGTCTATCAATGGTTATCAGCAGTAAAGCTAATAGACCCACTGATCCAATTAATTTTTTGGCTTCCTACTCTGGTATAGCAGGACCTGAGGCAGATCAATGAAGTAAAACACTGAAAATGGTTCCTTTAGAGATACAAAACTGTGCAGAGATTCTTCCTTAGAGTACTGAATTTGACTGTTTAACTACTGTGTATACACTATACTACTTAAGATATATAGGTTTTGCAAGCACTAGTCCTTCTGTCTCAAAAAAAGAAAAATAAAATTAATTTCTAGATTTGCCAAAACATTTAAGAAACCTTTCTCAAGGAACTAATTCTCAAGCTTCATTAACTGCCTGAAACATCTCAGAAAGAGGATAGCCAGAGTTACAGTTATTAAAAATGTGATGTGAAAACGATTAAGTGGAATCTTCTTTATGGATAAAAGTCTTATATTTGATTATTCTAATAACTATTCAGAACAATTTTAGCATTTCCTTATTTTATTGTGAGAAAGAACTTTACTATAACTTACAGTAAACTATAATGCAGATATGTTATATAAAGGACTCAAGAATCTACCCATTACTCATAGTGAAAAGCCAAGCTACAGATTAATCTTTTGGACAGTGTCTGAAAAATGTTAATAAAAGATTTGTATCCATAAATTGAAATAATTAATTTCCTATTTTATATTGCAAATAGCATAAAAATATTCTGTACTTTAGAGACTTACCATTTTATTATTGCTATATCTCTGGCCTTAAAATAAGGTATTTTATAAGAATATCTGAGAAACTTTTTGGTTTTTGAAAGGAAAAAATCATTAGCAGAAAATTTCAGATTTTTAAAAATTTACCAAATTATCTATAAAACCTGCTAAATATATTTTTATGTTTGCAGATTTTGTGGAATATTATGGATTAGGTATTGTTGAGTTAGGTTCAAAAGCATTTATGAAAGTGTACACTAGCAGAGGGATTCATCAAAATGGTGTTATGCATGGTATCTCTTCAACTTAGATCATCCATCAAGAGACAATCTCCCTTTGGAATATCAAGAACACTCCGAATTACTCAGTTTTGGTTCAATAATCCCATTTGACACCAGATCAGTTATTTTTATGAAGATAAAGCTGCTAGTGGCCTGGATTTTAATTTCATCTGCAAAGCAGGTACAGCAATGCTTTAATTATATGTGTGCAAAACTCAAACCACTTCTCTTGGAATGGCTTTTAAAACAATCTGTTTAAATCCCATCCCTATTCGAAATATCTGAATTGTAGGGGATACTGCTTAGCATTTTGACCACATAATCTACCTTATGTTCACAAATTCCAATCAGAGTGATATGGCAGAATATTGTAATTTTGTAATAGTGCTATGACTATTGGGTGTTGATTGATGAGAAACTCAACATGAGCTAGCAGTGAGTACTCACAGTCAATCATATCCTGGACTGCACCGAAGGCAGCAGGGCCAGCAGGGCCCCTCTAATCTGCTGCTGTGAGACCCCACCCAGAGTATTGCATCGAGCTCTGGAGCCCTCAGCACAAGAAGGACAGAGATGTTGGAGCAAGTCCAGAGGAGGGCTTGCTCCTCTTGGACCACCAAGATGATCAGAGGGCTACAGCCTTCTATGAGAACAGAATGAGGAGTTGGATTTGCTCAGCCTGGACCAGAGAAGGTCCTGGGGAGACCTTAGAGCACGCTTCCAGTATCTAAAGGGAGCCAAGAAATATGGAGAAGGACATATTACATACCCGTGTAGTAATAGGACAAAGGAGAATGGCTTTAAACTGAAAGACAGTATATTTACTATAGGTATAAGGAAGAAGTTCTTCACTTTAAAGGTAGTGATGCACTGAAACAGGTTGCCTGGACATATTGTTGATGCCTCATTCCTCCTGAAAATGTTCAAGGCCAGGTTGTAAGGAGCTTTGCAACCTGATCCAGTGGTTAAAGGCTCCTTCTAACCCAAAACATTTCACGACTCTTTAATTCTATCATACAATTCCCTGTCAGCCAGCAGATTACAAATCTAAGCACTAAGTAGATTTTAAAAATTAACAACAGCAAAGTGATCAGTGGCTAGGAAAATGTTGCTATAAGTCCATATAAGTTTCATTGCCTAGCAGCTCTAGTATTTATCTTTGGAGTTTTATACTACAGCATGTAAAAGCCCAGAAGTAATTAACTACATCAGCCTACTACTAACCATGAAGTTAAGTTTTTAACATGTATGGTTCTACTTGTATATGTTTTTAATATATCCCAGCATATATATGTACACGTTATTTATTATTTATAATGCACTGTTAAACTTGGTAGGGGTAGGATTGTTCTGATACATAGCTTTCTACAGAGACCTGTGTATTTTTTGCATTCATGAGTTTACTAACATCTATCATAGAATCCTATGTTAAGCAGAGATGGGAATCTTGAATTTCAGCAGAATACTCACAAAATAACAGGAAAGAATCAATTGACATCACGGGCAAAGAATAATAGCTTACATTTGGAAGGAGAGAGCAATGAACTACAATATTTTAGTCTCATATATTTTGGCCACAAGGGGCACACAGTACAAAAGCAAGCTTCAGCCTCCAGTGCTTACATATGCATGAATCCACATCAATAGTGTGTTTTCCTTACAAATAAAAAATAAAAAAAGAATAAAAAAAAAAAAAAAAAAAAAAAAAAAAAAAAAAAAAAAAAAGAAAAAAAGAAAAAAAGAAAAAAAAACCTCAACAAACAAAAAAAAAATAGATGCAGTCATATATTAATATGACCAATAGTTTCAGATTTTATCTTAAACCAGAAATGCTCACCTCATTTAATTTTCAGCAGAAAATCCAGGAACATTACTTTTCATAATATACATTTAATTAAAGTGGGTAAAAATATCTATTCTAGTCTTCTAGAAAGTAATGCCTTTGATAACATTGTTAATTTTGAAAGATCTGCAATATATTGGGTTAAGTGAAGAGTTCATGGCTGAGGGCAGTTGCAACAAATGACATTCAATTTATCATATAAAATATTGTTATATAGTAGTATTTATCTCAATATATATAATATATCATTTGCTTTAATAATAAATGTGTATCTAAGGCTTTTTAAAATGCTGTTTACAGCAAGCAAACTAACAAACAGTTACTGCAAGTCCTGTACCATCATGGTGCCAGTAAAACAGTAGCACAAGGCACGTACACAGGGGTGCAAAAGCAGTAGTAAAGCAAGGTGTATAAATCTGCTACAGATGCGCATAAGCAAACAAGCAGGATAGGTTCTGCTCCATGTCTGAATTCTTTGCATGACCCATGGACTCTGAAGTCTCAAATGAATGTCAGCCAGTGCAAATGAACCTGTTGAATATGAATCAAAGCCTTAACATCCCCAAGTTATTCCTCACACTGTCCTAGAGACCAGAGACAGACTAAATTCTGGCGCATTGTATGCTACCAAAAAAAAAAAAGCTGGTAGCAAAATTTACTGTTGGTGTAATATCATTTCCTGAGTCTGATGCAAATGTCTGGATTGACACTAAAAAAGTCTCTAAAACAATCAGATTTAGAAAATGAAATTATTGCATATAATGCTTCAGTGTCTAGATTTGATATAACCTTTTTTTATTGTATGCCTTTCTAAACATGATGGACATTGATCTACAGCTCAGTATTAAGAGAAGCCAATTAGGATTTGAAAATATAAATTAGGCTAATTCAGATGTGGTGCTCAAGTAAGGTATGGAATTTAATTTTGATAGTTCTGTCAAAACATTATTCAGTTGTAACTGTACCTTCCTCAATGTGGGATGATAATTTCCTTTACAGGAAATAACTCAGAAAGGTTTCTAAGGAAACCAAGCAAACACACCAAACTAATATCAGGTTTCATATGACAGTGAATATCACACAAGGAGAGTTGGAAGAGAATTTTCAAGGGAAAATGCTGTTAATGTGAATGAAGATAAATCTAGGTTTGAACACTGGCAATGTTAGAGAATCTGTGCTTCAGACTCTAGATATATTACTAGGTTAAGCAAAAAGAGGTATCCAGCACATGAACAGGAGCATGCATATGAACAGAAACATGCAGGATATCACTTACTGGCAAAATGCAAATGTAAATGAAGAAAGGCAGAGAAAGGAAAATGTAGATAATGAAAACACTTTCAGAATGGGCAGAGAGAAGTGGACGAAATCTTACCACCATAGTAATGGAAGGCGTTTTGGTGGCTTGACTATAGTCAGCTAAAATTATGGCCAATGGAGACCGAAACTGCATGTAAAAAAATTAGATGGGAATCTTCTTTTCATGTGCAAAGCACGTCCAGCCTGAATACTGCTGAAAATCAAATTTCCAGACTCATAAAGAGGAGAGGGTGTGTCTGGATTTTTGATTTTTCAAACTTCAGGGGTGTCTGAGTACTTCTAACAGCCTTGAATATCTTTAATTATATATTCTTCTGTGGAGGATGTTCCTTGTTTTCTTCCCCAGCAGAGGTGAACTGGTTCTTAAATGTGTGAGGGACCAGAGGGAGGGAGGTGGTCTAAGCAGTGCCAGGCACTGACCAGGATTTAAGGTGTCCTGCTGTTTAGTGTGCAGGAGCA